TATTAAGTAGATCAACAAAACTTAGTCTCTAGAGTTTTCACTCACCTCGGAAAAAACTTGAATAACTCAAAGCTTTAACCATATCGTAAACTCTTTTTTTGGTCAAATATCGTAAACACTTCAGAAATAGAATTTTTAAGCTTTAATAACACAATAATGGGATCTTTGCTTTTACTCAAATGATTGGAAAATGAAACTAGAAGAGAAAGGTGATGAAAGATATTTTTTTCTTTGCAAGAACAAATTAGGATTCGTTTTTTTATATGCTTGAAGACATATAGAGACCTATTTATAGGCCAAGGGAGGTGAGAACAAGTAACTCAAGTTATGAGAAATGATGACTTGAGGTTGAAGTTAGAGAATCCTATGTGGCATTATCATATGGCTTCTTCCAATGACGCGGCCAAGTGGAATGAATCTTAGAAGATCAATCTTGAGTTAAAAAGACACATGGTAAGAATCGGAAAAAATGTGATTAAAATATTGTCGTGACCTAACTTCCGGGGTGCACTACTTAGGGGTTCGGCTAATGGATTATTAAGTATAAACCTAATTCGGGCCCTCCCAAGCCCTATCAATTCACAACTTAGGTTTAAGTTCTTAACATGCAAATATTTTCATGCTGGAGTCGCCACTAATCTATTTTGTGGTGGATCGATTAGAAACCCAAATAAAATATAGGGAGATATGTTTTATTTTTACGAACCAGAGATTTTGAATTCGGGGACTTGGTTACGCTAGAGCTAGTCTAATGCCCTTTCAATACCTTTTATTTTTTTAAAAAAAAATGTTTGAACAGGCAATCTGGATCCATTTTATTACCTATTCACTAACATACGTTGTGACAATGCGGGTGCATAATCCACCAATTTAACACCCAGAAAGCAGTAAATAAATTACTAGTTTAGAAGAACAACGTACGTTTTAGCAACGCAAGCATTTACATTATTAGCTAGAAAATCACACGGATAGTCCTATTATAATTTCTAATTAACAAGCACTTCAATCAATATGTTATTTAGGGTTTTCTCTTTATTAAAATGAAAACTAACCAAAGTGCAATGACGTGCAAAATATGACATGCGATTAATTAAACCTAGCATGCGAACTATATGTCATGCGACAATATGATCTACTTCTAATGATGGGCAAATGATGTATTTTTTGTAGTTTTCATTAAAATTCGGAATAATAAAAAACGCCTAAAATAACATGTAATCTATTCTAGATAGAAACTCTAACTTATCCTAAAGTGACTTCTTTTTTGCATTTTTTATGAAAATTTGAAATTCTAAAATGCCCTAAATAATCTATTAGGACTAGAATAGCCCCTAATTTAAACTAGGAAATAAACTACCCTAAATCCCAATTTAAATTAAGCAATTATCCTATCTTCTAGATATATTCAGGATTTCCTAAACATGCAAAATTTCTAATTTAAATTCTAACTAATATTTTTAGATTTTCTTTTTAAAGGGGAAATAAATTAAACAAAGATATCAATCACACGCCAACCACCCACGCAATCCGCAAAATCCATTTATCATGTTCAAATTAAGAAAATGACTCGAGCTAGCGATCATATCCACAGGGTCATGGATATCGATGGAAAGCCGACTGTTTGAATTTCGAAAGCAAATAAGATATATTATTGCATCCAAGTGGTTATGGATAAGATAACAATCTTCCGCACCACCGCGTATCGTACCTTAGGGTTAAGGTAATATAGTCATCCAGGTACGTTGCTAAATTAGGAAAAACTCCTAGTTTGGGGTATTTTAAATATTGCGGATATCACACACATTATCCCAAAAATATCTAACAATCCACTAAAGATACTCATGAAATATTCAAACATCGAAAAATTAGGAAATCAAATATTCTAAGAATATCGGATGAGAATCTTACCTAATTTTGGGGATAATTTTCGAATTTGAATTCGACTTCGGATCGGGATCGCAGAACGTGCGGTGGACCGACGATGGCAGATTGGCAATGGCTGCATTGGCAATGTTTGCAATGATGTTCTAGTCAATCTGCAAAACAAGAACACAAGCCGTGGCGGTGTAAGGACGCCACGGCCACGGAGGCAACAGGGAACACCGGGACAGGTCAGGGGTGGTGTCGGTTGGTGAGCTCGCATCCGACCAAATACTGCAAAAGCGAAATTCATTGGGACTGCGCCAGACAACGATGGGGACATAGATGGTGAGGGTCTCGGCTCACGGCCACAAGTCAGGCCGTGAAGGAGGTAGCAGCGAAGAGGGGGGCGATGAGCTTGTTGGAGCAGCAAGCGTGGCACCAGCGATAGGGACAGCAGCAACGTTGGCATGGGGGGTCGTCGTCGGGACGGCGGGAAGCAGCGATGGCAATGGCAGGAACAACTCGGACAGGAGCAGCAGCAGCAATCAAGATGTCGTTGGGGGCAGCAGGCATTGGCAGCGAGCTCGGGAGGGACAGGGGCGCGGCGATAATAGTGTCGTCATTGATGGAGGCTACGGCAGCAGCTCATGGCCACAAGTCTGGCCTTGAGCAGAGGGCGCGGTGACGGGTGACAGGAGGAACGACAGCAGGGGCGGCAGTAGCTCGAGTCGCCAATGGTGAAGGGGAGGAGCACGGGCCATACGTCAGTGAGACGCGAACAGCGCAGGTGCGACAGTGGGCGCGACAGTGGGCGCGGGCGCAACAATGGGCAAAGGCGTAGGCACATGCACGGGTGCGGGCGCAGGCACGGGCATGGGCGCAGAAGCTCAAATTAAGACAACCATGACCTTTTACCCTTGAAATTTTCGGCCCCTGTTCCCCTAGCTTGGCCAAGTGCTACTCGATGTGCAAGCTAGACTATGATTCTAAACTATATGCTATGCAATCTAATTTCAATATTTTTGTTTAGGGGTTAAAGATTAACCTCGAATTTTCTCTGCACTGAATACTAAATGGTTAGCCAAAATTTAGGTGTCAAAAAATATCACACATGGCCACATTTGGTTAGCTTGATCAAATGACCAAGGTTAAAGTAATTATGACTTTAGGTTAAAAGCTGTGGGTGTAAAGATAGGAATCACACTTAAATCCAAAGAATACAAGTGGCCTTACGAGTGTCCTAATATGAGTAGCTAAACGAGAGATATTTTGAGAGAAAACTTCTTGGTCAAGTAAAATGAGTAAATTATCAAGGACATTAATTGGCTAAGGTTGAAATAGATGATGTAATGCATGATATCATCACTAGATTAAGCTCAATGTCACAAAAGCATGTGGGTTAAAACTATTGGTGGAAAATGAGGAGAGGTGATATAAATTAAAGAGGAAAAAATGGCTCACTTATATGGTTTCTAAAGTAGATATTTTGTTTAACTTATCAAAATATCTTCAAAATCAGTACGTAAACAAGGAAATGAGTGTCCGTTCCAAGCATTGATAAATCAGAAAAATATTTGGAACTTACTAAAAACATTAGTGAAAAAGAACGAATGTTAAGAAAATCTCAATTTAGTACATATAAAACTTGAATATTGTCAAATATACAATTTTAGGACAACAACTAATATGGCGGTAAATCAATTACCGTCATCTCTACAGCATCAACATCATTGTCGACATCTATTCATTTAATCTCATAGTATTACATTCCGGGTGACTACAGTCTTGGAAAATCATCCTAAATGTTATTATCGAACACAGAAAATTTCGGATGTCACACTGATCTTGTTTGGTTTTAACATTATACAAACGCTCTCTTTCCTTAAATCGATTACTAAAATATGGATTGAAGCCCCTGGACTTGTAAGGGACTATGAGCAACTCCGACTGTCCATACCATAAAGAGGTTTCAACATTTTCATACACGACAGTTTCAATAATTTATGAAGTACTAGTCGAATCAAAAGCTTGAACTCCTCGTGCTAATAGAAAAAGGAATGGATAAGCATCGAGCTCGGGTATCAAACTCAATTATTAGAGCGCTGAATCTCAAAAGAAGGAAGGGATAGCGACCCCTCACTAAGGGAAAGAAAAAACCGTGACTTCGTATTCGTCCATAAAGAGATGAAGTCCTCCGTTCACATTTTACTTTTCCTTCTCTCACCGTTCTCATTTTCCAGCTAACAATCTTGTCCCCTGCGTGCGTCATGCATTGAGATGAAAGCTAACATCAGCTCCTTCATTAAAGATTCTGAAAAATGGTGTGGGCACAGATATTCCAAAAGTCAATAGCAAGTCAATTTTTTAGGCTGAAAAAATCGATAGCTTTCAAAAAAAAAATCAATTTTTAGATGTAATATTGCCTACTATTTGGAGACTACCTCCTTCCATTTTTTCGAGATCTTAGTTCTATTTGTAATGCTAGAAAATGCCCCTAGACTTCTGCACGTCATCTTATAAATGATATTTACATTCACACCAAAAAAAAAAATCGATAGCTTGCAAAAAAAAATTAATTTTATCTCCTAAATGTCCCACCAAAAGTTAATAGCAAGTCATTTTCTAGGCTGAAAAAATCGACAGCTGGTAATTTTCTTTTTTTTAGTAATTCTAGCGTACACCATCAATGTAAAAATAACTTTACACAAGCGATTTTAGTCACCCTTAAGTTGATAATTAGTGATAAAGTGGGTGGTTTACACTTTCAAATCAGAAAAGTTAATTGATAGATTCGATCTATGTTTACCAAAACGTGGATCCCGCACCTCCATGGCTACGAGCCTACGAAAATTTTGGGTCTACATAGATTAAGTCTTTGTAATATTTTTCCCTCAGATAGAGGAGAGTGGATAGGACCATTTGTGTAAGGGTTTTTTTTTACTGATGGCATATACTCTAATTTTCCATTTTTTTGGGCGTATCAGAAAAAGCTACAAAAGTTGGCTTATTGAAATTCTTATCAAGAAATGGTCAACTAATTCAGAAACTAGAGTTAATGCAACATACTTTTGACTACCGAAGCTAAATAACTACATGAATACTCTTTCTATTCTTTAAATGTTGCACCATTTAGGTTTACAGTCTTTACGTCTTAACATCAAGCAACAAGTATTTTCCCTCACCTTAACCTGATACTAGCTCATTTGACCAACTGGAAGACCAAATTTTTCACTGCCATACTTAAATCGGTCTACTCGCCTTGATCGAAACAGTGGTGAGGCGTTCATATATGTACTTCTTTCATCAAAAAAGAAAAATAGAAACATATATGAACATGTGTGAATGTGAAGATGCTGTTTATATATATATGTGTGTGTGTGTGTGTGTGTGTGTGTGTGTGTGTTATGCAGGTGCGTCTGTATTGTGTAGACATTAAAGCAAGGTACTAACACTGAAGAGAGAGAGAGAGAATGGTGGAGGCAGAAGCGGAGAAGACGACGTTAGAGTTCACGTCGACGTGGGTGGTGGCCGTGGTTTGTTGTGTGATGGTGCTGATTTCTTTCCTTGTTCACAGGTTTCTTCAATTTGCAGGGCAGGTCCGCTCTTGGTTTCTTTCCTTCTACTATGATTTCATCACCTCTTGAGACACTCATCTCGTGATCAATGGTAACCATGTGACCGACTCTTGTTGAGCACAGCTTTTGAGCAGGCCGTCCAAGAAACACCCGAGTCACTGCAGGGGCAGGCGAAAGCATCTCTTTGATGCTTTACAGAAGATCAAAGAAGGTGAGTGCACTTAAAATTGCTAGAGAATGAAACGGGTTTATATGTTTTATGTTATGTCATACAGATGGAATTAACGGGCATTGGTTTTGGCTGCCGTAACTGTCCTAGGACAAATTTATATGAAATCAAAATGTGTTTATAACTTTATGTGATGGTTTTGTTTTTGAAAATTTGGCAGAGTTGATGCAGCTGGGGTTCATATCCTTGCTGCTATCAGTGTTCCAGACGAGTATCGGGAAGATTTGCATATCGGAGAGACTTGCCAACGTCTGGCTTCCCTGCCACCAGCCTGCTTACTCTTCTTCCACCACCACTGCCCACTTCTCGACTGATCCCATCGCTTCCGATGGATATCAAGGACGCCAACTCGTGGCCAACACCACTGATTACTGCGTTCAAAAGGTGAGTTCACTAACTCTCGAACATTTTAGTATTGGCAAACAGACAGCCATTGGGGGTATTAGCAAACGATGAATCTATCACATGCTTAAATTAATACTCCAACGAGTGTGCAGAATATATAATCTTTGTTGCGTAATGTTTCAGGGGAAGGTGCCACTGTTATCTCTCACAGCACTTCACCATCTACACATCTTCATATTTGTGCTAGCTACCTTCCACGTGATCGTCTGTGTGGTCATTATTCTATGTGGAGAAGCAAAGGTATATGGCTACAGGTGACTCACAAAATTTGCTATTTTGTATATTCATATCTTGGATTAATTCTGTAGATTTTCCTACCATGCTGTTGAATATAGTTATACCATTGGAGGCAGTGGGACAAATCCATCATAGAGAACGGTTGTTACATCAACGAAGAGGGTATGCAATTCTTTATATTGAATCTTTTCCTTTTTCCAAAGTAATCTCGAGGACACGCGAACTGATTCACGAACTAAATCGACAAGCGATGAGGTAAACTATTATCGAATGCTCTAAATGTGCCTCACCTATATATCCGTTTACCAATTTTATAGATCAATCTTTTGACTGATATGAGGTATCTATATTGGAGAGATACAGATCGTCGCAGCCAGCTGACCCAGCTTGCCAAAAAAGACCGTCGTTTTTTCGACGAAGGCAAAAGATTAGCAGTAATTGGCTGGTTGGTAAGTGTTGTGTGTCTCTTAAACAAGAATTTAGTGAATAATCTATAAACTATTAGACAAATGTCATCTCAACAATTAATTATTTAGATGCTATTGTGGGACTCGCATTATTAACGGTTGAGATGGACTTGGTTCACATGGTGTCTAGACTATACAATATTTTTCCCTCTTCGGCTATTCCCTTTCATCACTTTATTGTCAAGTTATCCTAGAGTAAAATCTTTTGGCACTTTCGCAACAATCGCGACCATTATTCGAGAAAAGAAGACAACCTTCGGATCTTTCAGTACAATGGATGGTTGAAATTAGATCTTGCAAACTTAATAAAATTTACTCTTAAAGTTTATATAAATTAGTTACGTAAGGTAGATCTTCACTGGGAAAAATATGTTGGGACTACTACACCAATTTTCTTCTTAGAGTATTACCTACACAAGTCTACTAATAATGCTACTACATTAGTGACATATGGTCAAACCCAATACACCTTTGAGATTTCCCCTATTAGAACCTCTATACGACTTAAAAAATAAAGTCAACGCCTTTATAGCCAAAAAAAAATTAGAGTCAACGCCTGGAATCTAGCTCCATCACCAATTTTTAAACTCCTTAAATCAACTTTATAGTCTTCTTTTTTTATGAATCATTATTGTTGCTCCACCATGAGTCTCCCTTGTGCTAGAAGAGTTCTGCTAAATACTAGCAATTTGTCTTGTAGCATTTTTTTTAATTAACCACTATAAATGTTATAAATCAACATATCTTCTCACAAGTTAACATAACGAACAACCAAATGGAGGAATGACGGGAAGAATTGGATTAAGTCTCCTTTTTGTGTATTAACTCATCAATACTCTTGTACTAAGTCGCTTATTAAAATTAGTCCCGCATTGCTTGAGTGTGCGCAAATAGTGTTGTATAGATGTCTGATTCCACGGACGCGGTGAGGCTGTCTAAACCTCTCCTTTTGGCGTGCCTTGAACCTCTATATAAACATCACTCATTTGCACTAGGATTAAGGAATTTGTGAGGAATTACTACCTTGTAATCTGATTATAAGATATTTCACCAATATGGTTTCGCAACTAAGACCTCACAGATGACGGGCTGATATCCGCGTACGTGAAAGCACGCTTATCATGCTGTACTTGCAATTTCTGAGACTCGACATGCAGAGAAAATAATGTTTGTGTGTTGTATGTACTCAAATGCATTTGAGCCATCAGACCTGATAGGTGTCACTAGATTTCATTTCCATAAACTGTTTAGTATATATAGCACACTCAAACTTTTTCCTTTGCAACTATCGCAACACCTGTGTTGCATTAGGTACGAGGTTTTTGTGTACGGTTTTTCTGCTGTATCTTGTGAATTGAAAAGTATATAATCCTCTTACCTTACCAATAAAAAAAAAAAATTTCCATCTTGCCCAATACCCTTGTCAGTGTTGAAAGCAATACCTAAAAGCTCCTTCTGTGGAATTAAGCTTTTTAGAAGACATGATGAGATTGTCTCTGAACAATTCTTCCTCTCTTCTGCAGCATATATTTGGCAAGCACTTTTTTCCGTCCGTGACTAAGTTGGAGTACATTGCGATCCGTCTGAATTGCATCAAGGTAGGAAATTCTGGCCGTGCTTCTCTATTTCTCCTTAAATTTAATTGGCTTGTTTCTTCCACCATCTTTACAGGCCCATAAGTTGAAAACACCCGACGACGATTTTCAGAACATAATCCGCAGAGTGCAAAAGGATTTCAACAAAGTTGTTGGAATCAGGTGAACAATACCGCTCTGTGTCTATTTATAGAAATGTTTATCTTCATGAAGAACTATTAGTATCTTCTGCAACTGATGGTGTTTCATGACGAAGAATTTCTCAAAAAATATTCAGCAGTTTCTTCAGGCATACTGATTTCTCTGTTCTTATCAATGCAGTTGGTATCTGTGGTTATTCGTGGTGCTTTTCTTGCTCCTGAATGTTTCTGGTGAGTGATTTGGGCACGAAATGTGTTAACATTGTACGTTTCTAGTATCTCTCTTCCAAAATCATTAGAGTGTTGCATGAAGTTCAAGCATTTCTCTTTCTTTTGAGCGACGTTATGTATACTGAGACCGATCTACAAAAATGATTTTTTAAGTGATGTGGTAGTGGATATCTAAATAAGTGGGTTACTTAGCACCAATAACACTCTATCACATCACTTAATAAGAGCAATTTTGTAAACCAGCCTCGGTAATTACTTTAGCATTTCTCTCCTTGTTTGCCTTCAAAGTGAGTCATATACTATTATTTTCAAAGAAAGACATCATATGAATCTGTCTTGGATATTTTTTTCTTTGCAGGATGGAATGCCTACTTTTGGATATCTTTCCTTCCATTGACAGTAAGTGTAGTGGTGAAAAGTGGTCCTTTTTGAGTTGTTGCGTTTTGCAAAAGTAAAAGTTATATGTGATATTATTCAATCTCTACCATATCTTGGGACGCTCAAACTATGGTGGAACATGCCGTAAATGCAATTTCATTGGCTTTTCGATCAAGAACAAATATTGATATAAGGATAGCTACTAATTAGTAGGAGGAGGAGGATTGGCACGGACTTGTCCTAATAACAAATTAAAGTCAAGACATACATAGGAATTAAACCATGTAACCCTCTTGCTTGTACTCTAAGATGGCATTTTGCTCGTCGAGGAATCCGTTCAAGATCATGTTGAGACTTACTTGGTGGAAACAATGTTTCTTTCTTGCCTTTTTGCAGCTTCTGCTAGTTGTTGGCGCGAAATTGGAGCACGTAGTAACACAGAAAACGAAAAAGATCACCGAGAAGTATAATTCAAGTGCAGGGGCCTCAATATCGACGGTTACCGCTGTTGAATTTTCAGATGACGATTTCTGGTTCCATAAGCCACACCTTGTCCTTGACTTGATTCACATCATACTATTCCAAAACTCTTTCGAACTTGCTTTTTTCTTCTTTATATGGGTGAGCATTCATTTCTCAAACTTCTTTTGTATTGGTTATGAGAAAATCAGTTCCTAACACTAGTGTGAAAATAGGACTAATGCCTGCGTCTTTTCTTACAGTTTCAATATGATTTTAACTCATGCATTATGGGAGAGGTTGGCTATGTCATCCCGAGACTTGTCATAGGGTAAGAATGATACTTATCTCTTCAACCTGTACGTCATATAAGATTGACAATCGAGTCCTATTATCGCTAACTGATCTAGTTGTGTTGTTTAGAGTGTCTGTCCAGTTCATGTGCAGCTATAGGACCCTGCCACTATATGCCATAATGAAATCACAGGTAAATAAGTAGAGGCAACTATCACTGACATATGTGCGAGTCACCTATTTGTTCTCTTTAATTGGGTTCAAATACGGGACTGAAGGTGCAACATTTTCTTTTGTTTGTGTCTTGATGAAATTATAAAGATGAGTCGGAAGCAGGATCACTCGAAAGAAGAGAGAGAAATGAAGGTTGTGACTTGGATTTGGGACTGGATTGAGAGAGATTCGAGGAAGGTGGCATCAAGTAACGAATCAACCCAAGCGGGTTCAAGAGAGGGACTACCGGCAAATGAGCAGACAAAAGCTGGTGAAATTGATTCGGAGATGGAAGCAGACATTGAAGCACAAGATGAAGCACAAGATGGAACCAAGCCCTCATATACATTAGAATTTAAAACCAGGAGAGCAGCGATGGATAGACGTATAAGTTTTGCTCCTTTTCTTTCCTTCCGTGGTCCTTAGCCAACGATGAGACCATGATTCATCTTCATCTTCTTCTGTCAAGTAATCAAACTTCGAATTACTCTCGTCACTTATTAGGGTTACACATGGGGCCATAGTCCTGGAATCGATCACCGGACACCTGATGAAGTCGTGAATAAGGATTGTTAGACAGCAAGGCTACAGCTCAGTTGAGATTTCCTCCATGATTATTTTCCTGCATTAGAGATATAGATATATTTAGGAGATTTTGTTTTGATTTTGATTTGATGTAATTGATATTTTGTTATTTATTACTTTAGATAGTTAATCTTTAAAGCCTATAAATAGGCACATGCACCTTTCATTAGCGATGTACAAAAATATTATTAAATACAATATATGGCTGCTTTTAGCCGCAACTCTTGTTGCCTTAAGATATTAATTTCTTGTGGTTTTACATGGTATCAGAGCTATCAATTGCGAAAGCATCATAGCCATGAGTTCCGATCTAAGTTCCTCAACAAAATCAAGTCCTGCAATTCCCGCTGCTGTTAGCATCTCAATGCCGTCCAGTTCAACAATCTGGTCACTCACCAGCCCCGTCATTCCGTCATCTGGAAATTTCATGGGGTCATCGTGTTGTCCAAATCTTGGGGTGAAATTCACCGGGGACAACTACGTGGTGTGGAAAGCTCGAATCCTCCCCTTCCTTTGAGCAAATAAATTGATTTTGATCGTCGATGGAACGCTGCCATGTCCTCCACAACAAATTGTTGGAAATATGGGATAAATTGATAGGTGAATGAATGAGAAATTGATGCTCAAAGAATACCCTTGAGTTGGAAGTGGAAAGTGGAAAAATACTATTCCCACATCGGAAAAGAAAGAAGGCTATGGAGTGCTTTATATACAGTTACACTTATTTAAAGTGGTAATTATCATAGCACAAACTCTCTGCCTCACGCGCAGGCGAAGGGGGGGGTGCAAATCCGACGCCCGACAAGTTGAAACTTGGGCGCGAGCGCACATCCCGCGTACACGATTGCAGGACCGAAAAGTGGGCCTCGCGACGAGCCCAATTTTGCCTTCTGTTTTTCTTTTTCTTTCAACTCAAACAGTTACGAATTTCAACGTGCGACAGATTATCAGCCGTTATTCCCATACGTATTGATCTTATAACGGCATAATTAATCGGCCGTTATTCGTATTGATTTTACAACGGCAGATTTAATCGTCCGTTATTCGTATTGATTTTATAACGGCAGATTTAATCGTCCGTTATTCGTATTGATTTTATAACGACAGATTAAATCGGCCGTTATTATTCCCAAATTGCTCTCCCCTCTGTTCCTTTTTATCGAAATCATTCTTCCTCTGGTTTAACACTCTCTTTGCATTTGCACTGTTTTTCGGTAATGTTCATTTTCGAGTTTGTTCAAGTTCGCCAAAAGCTTGGAAGTGCCGTGATCTCTTCTTCGCTGTCAACCGTTGTATCCTGGGAGACAGACGTTCACGAAACCTCAATCGCGTACCGGAGGGAACGAATCTGTTTTAAGGAAACTGTGTCAAACACAGGCCTCGGTATTCGTTTGTATCGATTCCGACTTTGTTATTGCAATTTCGTTTCTTTACAATTCTTTATTGTTTGTAATATTTATGCTAATGCCGATTTGAATTTCGTAACAATCTTAAAACAGATTCGTGCTTTTAGAAATTCAAATGGCTACGGGTAAAGAAGTCGTGGATGTGGCTGCTAGAAACAATGGTGTCGATGTGGCTGCTGACAACATCGCCAAAAACTCTGCCTATGCCTCAGCTGTCCAACTGCCTGCCTCATCCTCTGTTCCTTCTGCTGTTTCTGTCCACCATGGTGAGAAACCTGAAAAGTTCGACGGATCGAACTTTAAAAGGTGGCAGCACAAAGATGCTGTTTTATTTAACAACCTTGAATCTTGCGAGATTCTTGACTGAGGAAGCTCCTAAGTTATCCAATGGAGAAACGGATAAGCAAGTCTTCAACGCTGTTGAAGCATGGAAGCACTCTGACTTCCTGTGTCAGAACTATGTCATGAATGGCTTACATGACTCATTGTACAATGTCTATTGTGCAAAAACTACGGCAAAGGAGTTATGGGAAGCCTTGGATCGAAAATATAAAACAGAGGATGCTGGAGCAAAGAAATTTGTTGTCGGTCGATTCCTTGATTATAAGATGGTGGACTTTAAAACTGTGATCAGTCAAGTGCAAGAAATTCAAGTGATCTTGCATGAAATTCTGGCTGAAGGAATGATCTTGAGTGAAACCTTTCAAGTGGCTGCTGTTATTGAAAAGCTACCTCCTGGGTGGAAGGATTTCAAGAACTATCTCAAGCATAAGCGAAAGGAAATGAACCTGGAACAGCTTATTGTTAGACTTCGAATTGAAGAAGACAATAGAGGATTTGAACGCAAAGGGTTCAATCCTACTACAGCTAAGGCAAATGTTGTGGAGCTTAGGCAAGGCCACAAGAACAAGAAGATTGCCAAGCCAAAGTTGGGACCGAAAGGAGGAGTTTCCAAGAACAAGTTTCAAGGAAAATGCTTCAACTGTGGTAAAATGGTGCATAGATCTATGGAATGCAGACTTCCGAAGAAGAAGAATTATGAGACAAATATGGTGAGTGGCATCGCTCAAGACGTGTCAAACATAAACCTTTCTGCAATGGTTTCTGAAGTAAACTTAGTTGGGTCCAATCCGAAGGAATGGTGGATTGACACTGGTGCTACTAGGCACATATGCTCCAATAAGGACCTGTTCACAAATCTTGAACCAATTAATGGGGAAAAGGTTTTTATGGGAAACTCTGCCTCTTCTGCTGTCGAAGGCCAAGGGAAGGTGTTGCTGAAGATGACCTCAGGAAAAGAGCTGACTCTAAACAATGTCCTGTATGTGCCAGAAATCCGAAAGAACCTGGTTTCTGGGTCTCTGTTGAACAAGCATGGATTTCGTATGGTGTTTGAGTCAGATAAAGTTATTTTGTCTAAATCCGGAATGTATGTGGGGAAGGGATATGTAACTGATGGGCTTTTTAAGCTCAATGTAATGACAATTATCAATAAAGATAATAAGTCTTCCGTTTATTTGCTTGAGTCTTCCAATTTATGGCATGGTAGACTAGGACACGTTAATTATGATACATTGCGTAGATTAATTAACTTGGAACATATACCTTCATTTCAAATTGATTCAAAACATAAATGTGAAATTTGTGTTGAGGCAAAATTAACGAGATCATCATTTCAAACAATTGAAAGAAACACTGATCCCCTTGAATTAATTCATAGTGATGTTTGCGATTTGAAATTCGTACAAACGAGAGGTGGTAATAAATATTTTATTACCTTTATCGATGATAACACTAAATACTGTTATGTGTATTTGCTTAAAAGCAAAGATGAAGCCTTAGAGAAATTTATTCTCTATAAGAATGAAGTTGAAAATCAACTTAATAAGAGAATTAAAAGATTGAGAAGTGATAGAGGTGGCGAGTACGAAGTACCAATTGGTGAATTCTGTGCACAACACGGAATTATACATGAAATAACTGCGCCTTACTCTCCTCAATCAAATGGTGTTGCTGAACGTAAAAATCGCACATTGAAAGAAATGATGAACGCGATATTACTAAATTCAGGTTTGCCTCAAAATATGTGGGGAGAAGCTATATTGTCAAGCAATTACCTTTTAAATAAGGTACCTCGAAAGAAAGAGGATAAAACCCCTTATGAGTTATGGAAAGGTAGGAGACCATCCTACAAACACTTGCGAGTGTAGGGGTGTCTCGCAAAAGTGGCGGTTCCAACACCAAAGAAGACAAAGATAGGTCCTAAAACAGTGGACTGTATCTTTATAGGCTATGCACGTAACAGTAATGCATATCGATTTCTTGTGCATGAATCTAAAATTCCAGATATACACAAGAATACGATCATGGAATCTAGGAATGCATCATTCTTTGAAAATGTATTTCCTTGTAAATCCAATGATGGATCAAGTTCATATAAACGAAAGAATGAAACTATGAATGAAGAAAGTCACGATTCGGCTCATGAAATTCATGACTCAGATCATGAACTAGAACCGAGACGTAGCAAAAGAGCAAGAGTGGAAAAATCTTTTGAAAATGATTTTCTAACTTATTTGTTAGAAAAGGAACCATTAAATTATGCAGAAGCTGTGAATTCCTCTGATGGACCTCTATGGAAAGAAGCAATAAAAAGTGAAGTTGATTCTATTTTGCAGAATCATACTTGGGAGCTAGTGAATCTTCCTCCTGGTTGTAAGCCTTTAAAGTCCAAATGGATTTTTAAAAAGAAAATGAAAGCAGATGGCTCTGTTGATAAGTACAAAGCCAGACTTGTGATCAAAGGATACAAACAACGAGAAGGCTTAGATTACTTCGATACTTATTCTCCTGTGACGAGAATAACTTCCATTAGGATGATACTTGCAATTGCAGCATTGCGAAATCTCGAAGTACATCAAATGGATGTAAAAACAGCTTTCCTAAATGGTGATTTGGATGAAGAAATCTACATGGAACAACCTGAGGGTTTTATAGTTCCAGGACAAGAAAGGAAAGTCTGTAAATTGGTGAAATCATTGTATGGCCTAAAACAAGCACCAAAGCAGTGGCATGAAAAGTTTGATAATGCAATGATTATCAATGGTTTTAAGATCAATGAATGTGATAAATGTGTCTACATTAAAGAGACAACAAATGGCTATGTCATTTTGTGTCTTTACGTAGATGATATACTAATTGTTAGTAGTGATGATAAAATGATCAAATCTACCAAGTATATGTTGAATTCAAGATTTGACATGAAAGATATGGGACCTACTGATATGATTTTAGGAATTAAAATCACAAGAACATCAGAAGGTCTTATTTTAAACCAGTCACATTATGTGGACAAGATTCTTGAAAAATTCAACATGAATGATTCTGGTATTGCTAGAACACCATTAGACAATAGTCTTCATCTTTCCAAGAATAGAGGAGAGGGTATTTCTCAAGTAGAGTACTTTAGAGTTGTTGGAAGTCTAATGTACTTAATGAGTTGTACTAGACCAGACATTGCCTATACGGTTGGTAAATTAAGTAGATATACAAGCAATCCGAGTGCTGACCATTGGAAAGTAATAGTGAGAGTATTCAAGTACTTACGATATACTCGGAATTATGGCCTGCATTATACCAGATACCCAGCTGTTCTGGAAGGATACAGTGATGCGAACTGGATATCTGATATAAAAGACTCAAAATCTACTAGTGGATATGTATTCACACTAGCAGGAGCAGCCGTATCTTGAAAATCCTGTAAACAAACTGTTATAGCCAGATCCACAATGGAATCTGAATTTATAGCATTAGAT